GTATGAACAAAAGTAAGAGAAATTTAGGATAAGAATACGAACATGTTCTTGCATGAGGCCCATTGTTTTTCAAAGCAAAACTGTAAGAAATTTAGGGACCTTATCACACAGTTCGTAATAAAAAAAGAGATTCATAATTGAAAAAAAACTAACATTGAATGCACATGACCTTTGGTCCCCCAGGTTGCACTGCATTATAAACTGATATAATTTTGTAATGGATATTACATAGAYGCATAATAAACACTTGAAAAAATCTAGTCAGTGAACATGGTTCATCTCTACATCTACAAATGCAAGTTAAACTCTACTATATAAAGCCAAAGCCATATAAACATAAATAAAGGTACTTTATTGGTCATCAGTGCATGTTCCCATCAATGACAAAATTTGTGCTCTGCATTTGACCCATCACACGTGAGAAACACCCAAATGAGGCAGCGGGCAGCTATGTAGGCGCCTGGGGAGCAGTTGGGGGTTGGGTGTCTTGCTCAAGGACATGTGGGCATGGTGGGGAGTTGAACTTGTAACTACTGGGTCCCAAGCCGGCTGCTCTACCACTAYTCACAGTCGCCCCCCTATATCAACAAAGCCCAAAAATGCTGACAGCTTCTCTGGGCCTGAGCTCAACTGAGATGGACTGATGCTGGTGGAAAAAGAGTGGAAAAATGCCCTCTGGTCTAAAGAATCCCCATTTCAAATTGTTCTTGAAATCATAGACTTTGTGTTCTTTAAGCACCCCCCCACACCAAAAAAAAAAATACATAAAAATGAAATAAAATAAAAAAAAAATCTAATTGTTAGGGCAAAGTTCAAAAGCCAGCATCTGTGATGGTATGGGGATGTGTTAGTGCTCATGTCATGGGTAACTTGCATATCTGTGAGAGTGCCYTAGTTGCTGAAGGGTACACATACAAGGTTTTGGAGTAACATGCTCCATCTAAACGACATCTTATTTGCTCACTTGCTTATTTCAGCAAGACAATGCCAAGCCACATTCTGCACATGCTACAACAGTGTGGCTTTGTAGTAAAGGAGTGCAAATACTACACAGGCCTACCTAAAGTTCAAACCTGTCTACCACTGAAAATGTGAGGTACAATGTGAAGTGAAAAATATGACAACAAAGACTCCATCTTTTGAGCAACTGAAGTTGCACGTCAAATGAGAATGGGTAAAAAAAATATTCTACAATGCTTCATTAGTGTCCTCAGCTGCCAAACTGAGATTTGTTAAAAGGAGAGGTGATGTAACACAGTGGTGAATGTGCCCCTGTAAAAAGCTTTTTGGAAGATGGTGCAGGGATCAAATTCAGCAAGAGTGAATATAATGGAATAAATAAAAGCTTAGCAGTTTCAACATCAAATCTGTTGAATTTGTGATGTGTTCAAGTGAACATAGAGTAGGTTGGAAATGACTTGCAAARCATTACATTATGTTTGTCTATATACAGTTTATGAAGTTCACAACATAAACAGAATTGGGATTGTAGATTTAGACAGTAATTTTGAATATTTGAACTGTAATTAAATCAATGTGGCATTACAGTAGAAATTCAGATATTAAGCTCACCTTCTCTGATGTAGGTAAAGTCTGAGTTCTGGTAAAAGTGTCTCCTCCATTAATACTGATGAGTTCAGCATCTACAGGTGGAAACGGGGTGGGGAAAACCACTACGTCACTCTTCAGTGTGTCTGAGCTGAAACACACGTCATACTGCTGAGT